CCCCCTGGTGGCCACCAAACCTTCCCATGTGGCCACCAAACCCCCTGGTGGCCACCAATCCCTCCCATGTGGCCACCAAACCCCCTGGTGGCCACCAATCCCTCCCATGTGGCCACCAAACCTTCCCATGTGGCCACCAATCCCTCCCATGTGACCACCAAACCCTCCCATGTGACCACCAAACCCTCCCATGTGGCCACCAAACCCCCTGGTGGCCACCACACCCTCCCATGTGGCCACCAAACCCCCTGGTGGCCATCCCGCGGTTCCCCCCCGCAGGCGCTCGCCCACCTCGAGGCCTTCATCGATTTTGGCGAGGATGAGGATGTGGAGGAAGAGGTTTTGTCCCGAGGTGAGGAGGAGCTGCTGGCCCTGGGCCACCAACGGCCCCTGGGCTCAGCACAAATTCTGTGGTTTTTATCCCAAATTTTGGGGATCAGCACAAATTCCGTGGTTTTTATCCCAAATTTTGGGGCTCAGCACAAATTCCGTGCTTTTATCCCAAATTTTGGGGCTCAGCACAAATTCCGTGCTTTTATTCCAAATTTTGGGGCTCAGCACAAATTCCGTGGTTTTTATCCCAAACCTGGAGCTCAGCACAAATTTCGTATTTTTATCCCAAATTTTGGGGTCAGGACTTGGGGCCTTTCCTGGTGTTTTTATCCAAATTTTGGGGCTCAGTTCCATCCCCTTTCCGGGTGTTTTTATCCCAAATTTTGGGCTCAGTTCTTGTTCCCTCTCCCGATGTTTTTATCCCAATTTTGGCCTCAGTTCCCAGGACCTTTCCCAATGTTTTTATCCCAAATTTTGGGCTCTGTTCCATCCCCTCTCCGGGTGTTTTTATCCCGGTTTGGGCTCAGTTCTATCCCCTTTCTGGGTGTTTTTATCCCAATTTTGGGCTCTGTTCCCAGGACCTTTCTGGGTTTTTTTATCCCAATTTCGGGCTCTGTTCCATCCCCTCTCCCGATGTTTTTATCCCGGTTTTGGGCTCTGTTCTGTCCCCTTTCCGGGTGTTTTTATCCCAATTTCGGGCTCTGTTCCATCCCCTCTCCCAGTGTTTTTATCCCGGTTTTGGGGCTCAGTTCCCAGGACCTCTCCCGATGTTTTTATCCCAATTTTGGGCTCTGTTCCTGTGCCCTTTCCGGGTGTTTTTATCCCAATTTCGGGCTCGGTTCCATCCCCTCTCCCAGTGTTTTTATCCCGGTTTTGGGGCTCTGTTCCATCCCCTCTCCGGGTGTTTTTATCCCGGTTTCGGGCTCTGTTCCGTCCCCTCTCCCCATGTTTTTATCCCGATTTTGGGGCTCTGTTCCATCCCCTCTCCCGATGTTTTTATCCCGGTTTCGGGCTCTGTTCCATCCCCTTTCCGGGTGTTTTTATCCCAGTTTGGGCTCGGTTCCTGTGCCCTCTCCGGGTGTTTTTATCCCGGTTTGGGCTCAGTTCCATCCCCTCTCCGGGTGTTTTTATCCCGGTTTGGGGCTCAGTTCCGTCCCCTCTCCGGGTGTTTTTATCCCGGTTTCGGGCTCGGTTCCCATCCCCTCTCCGGGTGTTTTTATCCCGGTTCAGGCTCGGTTCCGTCCCCTCTCCGGGTGTTTTTATCCCGGTTGCGAGCTCGGTTCCGTCCCCTTTCCGGGTGTTTTTATCCCGGTTTTGGGGCTCGGTTCCATCCCCTTTCCGGGTGTTTTTATCCCGGTTTCGGGCTCGGTTCCTGTGCCCTTTCCGGGTGTTTTTATCCCGGTTTGGGCTCGGTTCCTGTTCCCTTTCCCGGTGTTTTTATCCCGGTTTCGGGCTCGGTTCCTGTGCCCTTTCCGGGTGTTTTTATCCCGGTTCAGGCTCGGTTCCCATCCCCTCTCCGGGTGTTTTTATCCCGGTTTGGGCTCGGGCTGAGCGCCGCCGTGTCCCGCAGTGTCGCTGTCCGTGCGGGAGCTGGAGCGGGAGATCCGGGCTCAGCTGCGGGACGGGCGCCGGGGGGAGCTGCTCCGGGCCGGGGTCCGGGCGGTCATCGCCGGCCCCCCGAACGTGGGCAAGAGCAGCCTGTTCAACCTGCTCTGTGAGTGTCCAGTTCCCAAAATTCCCGAGGGAAATCCCAGCCGGGGGTTGGGATCGTTCCCAAAATTCCCGAGGAAATCCCAGATGGGGGCTGGGATCATTCCCAAAATTTCCGAGGGAATCCCAGCCCGGGGTTGGGGTCATTCCCAAAATTCCCGAGGGAATCGTTCCTGCTGGGCTGGGAGGGGTTGGGATAATTCCTGAAATTTCCCAAGGGAATCGCTCTGGGGGGGGTTGGGATCATCTCCAGTATTCCCAAGGGAATCCCAGCCGGGGGTTGGGATCATTCCCAAAATTCCCGAGGGAATCTCAGCCGAGGGTTGGGATCATTCCCGAAATTCCCCAAGGGAATCCCAGAGGGGGGTTGGGGTCATTCCCGAAATTCCCGAGGGAATCGTTCCTGCTGGATCAGGGAGGGGTTGGGATCATTCCCGAAATTCCCCAAGGGAATCCCAGATGGGGGTTGGGATCATTCCCAAAATTCCCAAGGGAACCGTTCCTGCTGTCCCCAGGTCACCCACGGGTCTGGAGGGGCCAGGAAAATTCCCAAAATTCCAGAGGGAGCCATTCCAGCACCCCCAAATCCCCCAGGGAACCCTTCCAGCACCCCCAAATCCTCCAGGGAACCCTTCCAGCACCCCCAAAATCCCCAGGCAACCCTTCCAGCACCCCCAAATCCCCCAGGGAACCCTTCCAGCACCCCCAAATCCCCTCTGGGCACTCAAACCCCTGCAATAATCCCCAAAATCCCCAGGCAACCCTTCCAGCACCCCCAAATCCCCTTTGGGCCCCCAATCCCCCACAATAACCCCCAAATGGTTGTCCCCAGGCCGGCGGCCG